TAAATTCCTGTAATAAATTTTCTTTTGTGAACCCATATATGTGTTTGTGTGTGTGGTTGAGTGGTGTTTGGTTATGAAGGGGATAGGGACATGTGTTTTCGAAAATGAAAGGACTTACCCAATATTATTACGATGGTCACATCTCTAAAGTTTCCATAGAGAACTTCACTTCAAATCAGACAAGTTATTCATGAGTTTTAGCATTTAGTGCAATGGGGCTAGTCAGTTTTTATAAGACAAGTTAACTAGTAAATGCACACTTAATCTATCACAATGACTTTTTTGTAAGGAGNCATCTCTAAAGTTTCCATAGAGAACTTCACTTCAAATCAGACAAGTTATTCATGAGTTTTAGCATTTAGTGCAATGGGGCTAGTCAGTTTTTATAAGACAAGTTAACTAGTAAATGCACACTTAATCTATCACAATGACTTTTTTGTAAGGAGACTATTGTCTATGACCATCTCTCCATTTAAAAGAATGGAGAGATGGTCACCAACCTAGAACGCCTGAAGAGTTCTTTAATATGAAACATTCTTTTGCTAAAAATGTAATCGAAAGATGTTTTGGGTTGCTAAAGAAACGTTGGGCTATTTTAAGAAGTCCGTCTTTCTACTCTGTCAAAGTACAGAACCGTGTAATAATAGCCTGTTGTTTGTTTCACAACTACATCAGGTATCAAATGCCAATAGACCCAATTGAGGCGGAGGTAGATGCAGCAGGTCTCGTGGTGGAAAATAATACACATGATGATCGTATTACCACAGTTAAAATATCCAACGAGTGGTCAACATTTAGATTGAATTTGACAAACAAGATGTTTGATGAGTGGAGAGCAAGTAGACAAAGAGTATAATTTTTTGTGCTTATATTTGAGAATCATTTTGTTTCTTAAAATTCTACATTAAATGTTATTGAGATGAAATGAATGGAATTTAAGAATTCTTGTTTTTATTCAATTTGATTTTGTTTTCAGTATACTGTTAATTATTTTTTGGACTTATTTTTCATTGATTTATTTTTTGGTTCAGCTAGCATGTTCGGATAAGATTCTTAATTGTCTTGATAATTTTTTTTTTTTGGATTTGCACATGTGCTCTATTGAATTCACAAAGAACTATAGTTGTTCATTTGAAATGAATGACAAATTTTGAATATTTTTTGATTTTGATTTTGATTTCTTTTTGTGAACTTATTTTTGAAGGAATTTATTTTCTATTTTTTTTTAAAAATTTATGGGGGTTTAATTTTTTTCAATAGATTCTCATATTTTCTACTTATAAATTTTTTTACGCATAACTTTCAAAGGCAATCACAATCATAAAAAAAATTGTTATTAATTATTTTTAGTCACTCTGGATATTTTGGTTAAATTTCATTCCATTCCAATAAAAAAATTGTTTTATCCAAACTTTGGAATGGAATGAGCATTCCATTACAAGACTTAATCCTAATTAATTGTCAAACATTGGAATGGTAATGTGCATTCCATTTCATTTCCAAGTTCATTCCATTTCTATGTTCATTTCATTCCTACATAAATGCATTACTGCGTACCAAACGCAGTGTTAGCTTTTAAGTAGTCATATTATTGGAATCCAAAAACCTTTTTTAGATTATGACCATTGATTCAATCTTTCATTCAAAAAATTATGATCGTCAAAGTTGATTAAGAGAATTATATTATACAAACTTAGCCCATCATTTGAAAAATGAGGGAAAATGGTATTTATGAGTAATCATAAACAGGGGTAGTAAATGTGTTATGTCGTATTATTTTGAGTTTGTGTCAAATGCTAACTCAATTCGTTTAACTAATCATGTTGAGTTGAGTCGAGTCAGCTTATTTATTTTTACGTCTTGTTCGTGTTGACTTATATAAATTCGTGAATAAAAAAAATAATGCTCAGATTTAAGTCTAAAATTTAATTTTTACTTAATCGAATCTGATCAGATCTCGAAAATTATGGCCCAAGTTCAGTTATGGACAGGGAGTTGATGAGTTTTATTTAGGTGGTGAGAACTGAGGGATAGCCTAGTCGGTAGGGAGAGACACATGAGTTAAGTGGTTCATCCCAGTTGGCAGACTGAGGTTACATCCACTACAATGGAGTCTCTTGCTCCTTGAGCTTTTATATTGATTCTTTTCTGAAGTAAGTAGCATTACAAGCGCTGGGCCATTACAGGAAGTTATATTCTAACTCATGCATTCTTGGGTGTTAGAACGCCCCGGAGGAGTTCCCATCGGCTCCTCTTATCTGCTTGCTGATTTTGTGGGGACCTTCCGTCCTTGCCTTGCAAGTAAAACCCTGTCAGCCGGCGTTACTGTACCTATTGTGCCTGGGACGTTACNAGGGGTTCCCATCGGCTCCTCTTATCTGCTTGCTGATTCTGTGGGGACCTTCCGTTCTTGCCCTACAAGTAAAACCCTGCCAGCCGGCGTTACTGTACCCATTGTGCCTGGGTTGTTACGCACCACCACTCCCCGCAAGTGGGTGTGACTGTCATAGGTTTCAGAGATGGTCCCCTTGTTCTTTTGGGACGCGTGGCGTGATGGGATGCGTCTATGGTTAGGGTTTGACTTCTCCCTCTCTGGCTATCTTGCAATTAGGGTCGGACCGCCAGTCCTTTTGGGCTTTGCCTCTTGATACGGGCTGGCTAGGTATGCTTCCCTTGGGCCAACAGGCGAAGCAGAATGCTCTGGGCTCACTGAGCTCCATGGCCATGGCGGCCCATACTTAAAATTTTGTCCCAATCAGAATCTATGTTCATACTTTTTCTATAAATTAAAAATTAATTTAATAAATATAATAATAAAAATAAATAAAAATATCTTTTTGTGCAATAATTATGTCACTATTGGATAAAATATAATAAAAATTAAGAAAAATTTCAGTCACACCCCTTTTGGTTTATATATCTTCAAGGAAATCCCCTATATTATCCAAAACATCACTGACATATTTAAACATCACTAATATCTCCTGCCATTAAACCACAGTTTAAAAAAATCTAAAATATCAAAATTGCCCCTACATAAATTTCAAACAATCTTGCTATATAAAATTCAAACCGATTAAAATTCATTTTTCTACATATTAAATTTTGAGCTGATTAAAATTTATTTTTCTATATAATAAAATTTGAACTAATTAAAATGGGATTCGAGCTGATTAAATTTAATTTTTTTACATATTAAAATTGAAGCCTATTAAAATTCTTTTTATATGTATTAAAAATTGAATCGATTAATATTTATATGTTTTTGCTTATTAAAATTTATATTTTTTTAATTATTAAATTTCATTAAATTTTTTTTAAATATTAAAATTTATATTTTTTTATGTATCAAAATTCAGACCGATTAAAATTCAATGCGAGTTAATCGACTCGAATAGAATTTTAATCTGCTCAAATATTAATATTTAAAAAAAATAGAATTTTTAATTGATTTGAGTTTTAATATGTAAAAAAATAATTTTTAATTAGTTCGAATCGAATTTTAATCGGTTCGAATTTTAATAAGTAAAAAAATTTAGAAAATATTGGGGGTTTCATTGAAAATATGTCTATCTAAAAGGGACGTGGATGATATTTTTTCTAAAATATATAATGAGCAATTTAGTAAAATTGCATTCTAATTAACACTTTTAATCTAATAGGGAGTATCAGTGAAAATTCAAAAAATAGAGGGGAAGTATTTGAAGATATGATAAACTAAAAGAAATGTGGCTGAATTTTTTTCTAAAAATTAATATTTTATTGCTATAATATTAATTATTCATATCAATTTCATATTGTTCGTTTTTTAAATAAATCAAACTAATTTATTATTTATGTTACTAGGTTGTGTCATTTACGAATTCATGTCGAATAATGATCAATCTTAACCTATTAATTTTACATTATCTTAGAATAGTATTATCGAATCGTATCAAAAATTACCCACTCGTCGTGAATGAGAACAATCTGATTAGAGAATCGTGGAGCGAATCCATTTCATAATCGTACACAAAAAGAACACTCTCGTCTTGTAATGCAATGCATCGATTAAACAAACCTATTTTTACTACGATAGTGATAAAAAAAAAATTAGTATTGTGTGACGTAAAACTGGTAGAGTTCATGGATCAGCAGTGAGTCCTTATTGTTGGGTGTTTCTATTACCATTGCAAGTATTTTTATTATTTTTTTTGATATTATAATAGTTTATACTACTTATATAGTTTCATCTAATTTATATTTTTTTTTACACTCATTTGACTTTTAATTTATTTTAATATCTTTTATAAGAACTTCTGAATTTTTTTAAGCTTATTTATTAGTAGTACAAAGATTTTCTATTTTATCATTAATTATTATGATAAAGTTTATAATAGCCACCTATATAGTTTTATTTAATTTATGTTTTTTTTTACACCTATTTGACTTTCAATTTATTTTGAATTTTTTTATAAGGACTTCTAAATTATTTTGAACTCATTTATACAAAAAAGTAAAGTCTTATAAATGTTAAATTATTGTACACATATAGCCATCAGATTGAATTTCACAATCCAACATATATGTTATATTTAATTTTTGGTATGCAACAATATAATAATATTATGAGCGAGCGATCTAATCAATCTATTAAAAAATAAAAAATAATAATTATATGATATAATTAGATGTACAAATAACTAAAGGAGTCAAAAAGATACTTAAATAAATGATAAATTAGGTATTCAAAAATTTATATAATAAATTAATAATTAAATGTAGATTAATTACTCAATATCTAATTTATTATTTAATTTAATTACATATAATTTATGCTTTTTTATAAAAATAATATTATTTAAATTTATTTACTCGTGATGCACATTGTGCATTATTAGTTATAAAAAAACTTACAATCGCGATAAAAATATTCATAAATATAATAAATAAAAATATAATACGACATTGTTTTTTGGGTAGCATTAACAAGTTCCAAACAAACAGTAGAGAGAACACATACAAACACAACAAATCATAAACAAATTAACCTCTTTTACGTCCCCCCTCCCTCCCTAATCTTCTCTTCTCTGTTTAGCAGCTTCAAGTCAAACATATATAACCTCAATTTTTGTTCAAGGTGATTGTCTCTCTCTCTCGCTCTCTCGCTCTCTCTCTTCACACATACCCCATTCACAATCTCACCATCATCTTCTTGATCTTAGTCTCCAAGCCCTCCGAATCCACCATTTTTGTTTTTCTTCATTCTTCAAAAGAATGTTTTGTTGAACGATAAAGATCATAAGGAGCCCATAGATGATCAACAGCGCAGGGCTTCCTTGAGTCTAACCTTAACCATGGCTTACCCTTGCCACTCCAATGAAGGAGACTGATTGGACCAGGATGCAAACCCCGGCATTTACCTTCAATATTATCACCACCCAAACCGTGCTGGTTCCACCGGTGATCGACGGCTGTTATATCTCCGGCCAAAACAAGCAAGAAAGGTGGCAAAGAACCCAGGTGGTATATCCTCTTCTGCTTCTGTACCACCATCCATTCTTCAACCTTCTGTGTATATCCACCTTGTCTCCACTTATCCACATCCACCACCATTACACCAGTGTTGAAGTAACAAGGTCGCCGGCCGGAAAATGTCTTCGCCAGAGATGGGTCGGACCAAAATGCGTCGGTGAAATACTGTGTGAAATTTGCATGACAATACTCTGGTGCAGCCAACACCTTGTCACCCATATCAACCCCCCACAGCTTTGCAATATCGTCCACCATTACAAGGTCAGAATCAAGGTAGATAACTCGTTTAACGTCGGTCGGAATTATATCTGCGAGATAGATTCGAGCATAGTTAAGAGGTTGGTCCAAAGCTTGACGAATGGATTTGGAGATTAGCCCACGAACCCTATGGGCATCAAAGCGGTAGACCTTGAATTTTAGGTAAGGGAAGGTTGATTTGATGCTTGAAAAGATCTCAGGTTCGAATCTCGTCCAGAGGATATGAAACATGACGTTTTCGGGGCACGTTGAGTGTTGAAGAATTGACAAAACAGCGGCCAAGGTGCCTCTAAGATAATTGGCATCAAGAGTCATGGCTACGTGAATTTGGTCTGTGGAAGGAGACCCACAAGTCTCCCCATTGCGGAAAGCTGGGGCTTCACGGAAGATGGGGACATCTGGGGATGGTTTTCGGATGAGGCCGAGGCGGATACCGGTGGTGGTAACTGACGCAGCGGAGGTTGTGGTGGTGGCGAGGTGGAGGGTAAGGAAGAGAGACAGGAGGCCAAGAGACGAGGAGCTCCAGAAGGCCATCCTGCTCTTGGCTTTTGGGATGGAGAAGTTAAGGGAAAAGAGCAGAAGCAGCCATTGAAGGCTGGTTAGGAGAAGGTTTAGGAGAGGTAATTAGAGAATGATTGAAAAAGGGAAGGAGAGAGGTTGGTGGAGGATTGTGAGGAAGAGAAGAAACCTCGGAGGATCTTCTATTTACACCAAAGAGTTTTGTCTTTTTATTTATTATTTTAATTTTATTTTGTCCATTTTCATTACTTCCCCTATTCTTTTAGCTTCTAAACATATCCAATTTTTCAACTTTTTTTCTCTTTACAAAGTCCTCTTTTACTATCTTAATGTAACTTTTGAGAACTTCCTACATATATACCACTGCATACTATATAAGGTATGCATAAATTAATTCGAACACCTTTTATCGTTAAAATAAAAAAAAAATCACAAACAAGTGTGGGTGGTTTTGGAGTGGCCTCCATGAAAAATGTTAATTTTTTAAGTATTTTTATTTCATGATCTTGGAAGAAAAGATTAATGTTCTAGATTTATAGTTCATAGGTTATTATGTTGCCTCATCAATTTATCCTGTACCGCTAGTTTCTAACACAATTATTTAAAGAGTTAGGACCCCTGTTCAAAAAAAAAAAAAAAATCCAACCCAAGTGCTATAGGTTGATAATGAGTCAAATGATGGAGCTCTCATGCTCCAAATTTTACCCAAGTGCTTTTAATTGCTACAAGGATCTTTTCAGCATGGGTAGCATTAGCAATGACAAATCTTATGTGATTGGATTTTGATTTGGTATGTGAATGCTTAATTTGATTTGTTGGGTTATTAAGCTTCCATTGGGGTACCAAGAATGTCCGGACCTGCTTTCGTGTACTTTGACTAATTTCTTCTCCGATTTGATTAAAGGCAGACAATTCACACTGAAATTAGAGTATTTATGAGAGACCCNTGGACCTGCTTCCGTGTACTTTGACTAATTTCTTCCCCGATTTGATTAAAGGCAGACAATTCACACTGAAATTAGAGTATTTATGAGAGACCCTCATGACTGCACCCCAAAATCGTGATTGACTTTTTTTCTTGAAAAATAATTAGCGACCCTTGTACATATTTAAATCTTGATCTCAACCCACCCAATTGCATGATAGAATTAATTTTGACATACATGTAAGAATTCATTATAAAACAAAATATTTTCTCAAATTTCAAAAGGAATAACTTGATTAAAGCTATGTTTTAGCACATTACATCTTAATTTCATCAACTAGTCACTTATCATCTATGCATACACTTTGTATTACATCATACGGCTTGATCATAAGGTCAAGTTCAATTACTCTTCCTTTTGTATGGTTACTTGAAATCAGTATTGTACAAGGTATTTTTCACTCGTTTACGGGACAAGTGTCAAAGGAAAGAATTGTTGCACTCTCTTGCTTAAATGAATTCACATCTCTAGCTTGAATGAATTCACATTTATCCAGATAAACAAATCAGATATTGATATACTTAAATTCAATTAAAATTATAATGTATGGGAGGCCTACTAACTAAGTTGAGCCATTTGATAGTCCATGTGTTTGGTCCATTAAGATTCAGCTGATCCAGAGTTTAAGTTAAACTAATTGAAATGGATTAAAGCAATTTGAAGGGATCTGGGCCCCAGGCCAAACATTCCTCATCGATTCAAATTGGGACTTAGTGGAACTGAGGGTTTATGGTTCTTCTGCAACAGCAAATTGCAAACTAGGGTTTAGAACTATTCTTTGAAGGTTCTTAAAATTAAAGAAGTAATCTTAAGCTTGTTTAAAATTTTCAAGAAGACGGGATGTTATAAAAGTCTTATTTAACATAAGACGTAAGATATTGCATGTTGAGATAACTTATCTTTTCTATATTTATATAAAAAATAGGTTAGATTGAAAAAATAAAAATAACAAAAAAAATTCATTCAATTGTGTTGCATTAAAATTGGCTCAATTTATATACGTTGCCTTTACAATCTTATATAGGAAAATTTGTACTATATATAAGTTGTTTTTTAGCAAATTTATTTCATATTTAGTCGAATTTATCTTAACTCGTTTATTTAAAAAATCTATCAAATTCATTGATTTATCATCCATATCTCCTAAGGCTAAAATCAACTTTGTTATTTTTATATTAATTTCTTATTGAGTTTGCACTTAGTACTTAAAATTAGAAGTCTTAAAATTTTTGTAGGGCAAATTATAATTTACACCCTTAAACTATACACATAATTTCTTTTTGATCCTTAAAATTTTAATATCAACAATCAAATCTTTTAAGTTTTAATTGAGTTTCAATTTAGTCCTTACATTCAAAATCACTAATTTATTAAGCCCGAATGACCTTCCATGACAAAATGTGACTTGAGTAAAGGAATGTATTTATTTGGTAAATTTTTTTTATATATACGTTAGAAAAAACTTATTTTGTTTCATTTGATTTTTAAAAGAAAAGAACGAATCTAAAAAGAGGATATATAGTAAAAATTTGAGAGATATTGGAAGACATATAGAGAAATATCGATATATCTGAGAGATATATATTTTATAGGATAAATTTATCCTATGGGTACGTTCTTTGATGTCTTTTGGTTATAACAATTTAATAAAGCGGGATAGAAAGACTAAATTAAAATTCAAATAAAAATTTTAAAGATGTAATTATTTCAATTAAAACTTTATGAACCAAATAAAAATTGAGTGCATATTTTAAATGTATAAATTATAAATTACCTTTTTTTTTAAGTAATTCTAAATATTTTTTGGGGCATATTTAATTAGGGCCCTAGCAGCGGCCTTAACGCCATAAGCCTAAGCCGGCACTGAGAGAGAGAGAGAGAGAGACAGAGAGACAGAGGGGGCCGGCACTGAGAGAACAGACAGAGATGAGAGGAATACAACTGTCGTTAAATCAAACGCAGAAGCCAAGGCTAGAGAGGGCATTGGAGCGGTTGGAATCATTGTCGTCGAAGTCCAACCCTAATGCTTCCGTCACCGTCGCCGACACCATCCCCGTCAACTATGAAGACGGAGTTCTCAAGTAACTCCCCCTATCAGCCTATCTCTTCTCATCTTTTTGTATTATTTTTGTAAAACCTTAATTACTGTATCGAAGTATTTTTGATTGTTTGAATGTAGGGGGCACGGGACGTCCGAGCTCGATGGCCAGGTGGTTGCGACGTTGTGTGGAGTGGTTGAGCGTGTCAACAAGCTCGTCTACGTTCGTGCTTTGAGGGCCAGGTAATTGCTAGACATTGATTGTTCTAACCTTTGGTACAAAATGGTGACTTATTTCTGGAATCCAACCATTGTAGGTATAAGCCTGAAGTTGGGGATATCATAGTAGGCCGCGTTATGGAGGTAAACAACTAATCTTATATCACATGAGTCGGTAAAACCTTTGTTATTGTCTAATTTTTTTCACAGGTTTCTCAAGGGTTACTGCAGGCCTGAAACGGGTTCATGTTGGATCAAAAAACACTCTGATTCATTTACTAATTCTTTATTAATTTGTGTTTGACGAATCGTGTCATATGAAATTTGTATTTTGTATTTCTTTTGGTTGGCTTCAAAACATAACCGACTCTTTTATTAATTATGTCGTGTCGGGTCCATTTGTTTACGAAACGGGTGTATTAAACAAGATTCAAATCCTTTGACTTCGTATCGTGTTCGTGTGGTGTTAACGAGTCGTGTCATTACTGGAAACTCGATCAGTTACCCTATTTAATTAGTGAATTAATTGACTTGATCTTTGATTCTTCTTGTCAATCTAAGGTTGCTCCCAAGCGCTGGAGATTGGAGATAAATTTTAGCCAAGATGCAGTATTGATGCTTTCTTCAATGAACTTGCCGGATGGCGTCCAGGTATGTATCTTCCTCCATTTAACATAATCCTCTTAAAGCTGTCAACTTTTTTCTTGGTTACAAGTTAATAATTTTATTGCAAGTTCTCTATGTGGCTTACAAAACTGCAGTTTAGTTAGAATAGACAATTCATTCGACAAGAACTCGATGTGCAGAGTTTATTTTTTTGTTAAAAGGATGCTGGTTCTTAAAATGTACTTGGAAAGAAGGAAAAACAATATCTCATTAGCAGGCTTGAGTTTTTGCCCCTGCTATCAGCTTAGTCCATAGCGGAATCTTGAAGTTCTTCACCATACTATTCTGTCTAGCATCTTGTTTAATCTATACCTATTGGCTTGCATTATGATTATCTCTTTGAAAAACTGAACTTGTTACTCACTTTCCTTCTTAAGTTGGTTTGCTATTCATTTTTTAATCTTTATTTTTCATTTGCTAGAGGCGGCGAACTGCAGTTGATGAACTCAACATGCGCACCATTTTTGAAGAGAATGATGTGATTTGTGTAAGTTCTCCAGTTCGTGCAGTTTTTGAGGAAGTGGTTTATATTTTGGTTGGTTATGAAGTTTGTTTGATGATTTCTTTGAACAAATGATCAAATGAAAATCTGCAAGATGCAAAGCTTATGTCGTTATTTTAAGGTTACTTTGTCTTGGGTTCTAAAATCAATTCTTGTCCCACTATGTATAATGTCCCCTTTTCTTGTTTTGTGCCCCATGCTGGGAGTGTTGACTCCCAATGCTATGGATGGTAGCCAAACACAGGAATTACTAAAATTCTGTTTGGCAATTTCTTTCTTCAGGCTGAAGTTCGTGGTTTTCAGCATGATGGCAGCTTACACCTGCAAGCAAGAAGCCAAAAGTATGGAAAGGTGTGTCTTGTTATTATATATCTTACTCTTGTAAGCTTTGTATTTTCTGTATGTGAAGATACTTCATGTTTTAAAAGGATGAACCAAAAGGAACATGAATCAGAAGACTGAAGTTCCAGAAATTTATTTGAATAGATTCTATGTTAATATGTGATGGAGTACACCGCTTGCCACCTATTATAATGATCGCAGATGCTCACTGCTGATATGATAGAAGTACAATTATAAGCAGTCTTTAGTGGAACCATGCTGTCCATTCTAACAAAATCAACAAAAACACTGGAACAATGGTGTGAGTTTCTGTTGTTTCTCCTAGCTTTGTAGCAGTATTACATTAGGGTCGCTCTGATTGATGATCTCATCATCCTTATTAGTTTTATCTAACATAAAAGACTTTTATTACAGCTTGAGAGAGGTCAGTTGCTCACAATTTCCCCTTATCTGGTGAAGAGACGGAAACAACATTTCCACCACCTAGAGCAGTATGGAATTGACTTGGTACTTGGATGTAACGGGTTCATCTGGGTTGGTGAACATGTTGAAGCTAAAGATGACATGGTAGAGGATCAAGCAAACAAATCTGAGCAACAGAATTCCAAATCCACAAGTTCACCGAATCTTGAAGAACAAGAACAAACTTACACACCACTGGAGATTAGGCAAAATATATGCAGAACGGCAAATGCAGTCAGAGTATTGTCCAATTTAGGCTTCAATATTACTGTAGAAGCGATCATGGAGACAGTTAACTTGAGCAGCACTCTGAATCTCGATATACATGAGATGCTTGGAGCAGAGTTCTGTGTTCTGACTGCTGAGAGAGAAGCAGAACGTCGAAGCATGTTGACCAAAAGGAAAGGGTAATCCTGACATGTTCACATAGCATCAGAGAAATTTTTTTTATAATTATTTTGTTGTATTGTATCGGCTGATGCTACATACAAGCAGCCAGAAATTCGAAGGTTTTATTTAGTTTCTTTAGGCAGAGCTGTTCGTTTGTCACCCTTGTAATAACAGCTTGATTGTTTCTATCTAAGTTTGTTCAATATCGAAGTTTCAAAATGAGGGTTCAATCCTATTTAGTGCTAACATGATAAGAAATTAAAGTTTGAAAGGAGACTATCAAAGGAAAGCTTCTGGAGGATTTTATCCTGAGATAATTATGATACATACTCTCTTTAAAGCTAATTTCAAAGCAAACAAAATAGAAATGTATGTAAGAGGTCTTATTTTCATTTTCGGCCCTCATGTCCCTGCAAATAACTGCTATTTGATTCATGACAGAAGATAGCAAATTGTCTGGGTTTTGGCTTGAAAAGTCAAAGCTCATCCTTTGTTGCTGGTGTCTGATAACATTGTTCATCCCAGTAGAACGGGAACTTCAATTTGGCCGCAGTGTGTGGCATGAACCAGTCCTCGTATACGAACCTGAAACCAAAAGCCAGATAGCAAGTCGTCACTGGGTAAATAACAGAACTACTGATTTGGTGGACTATGATGGCACAAACTATGAGAAACTGTAGTCACTGTCCTAAAAGGGCTGTTTAGTGCATGGGGCTCAATGCAAAAATTTGTAACACAGGAAACTTATGATTAATACTTGGATAGCTAAGAGTTTAGAGATATGTTATATGTAATAGGAGATCGAGCATTATAGGAAAATCATAAATACTGACGCAATCCGGAATTTCAGCATTCATACCTACATTAACAAATTCCTAACTCAGATACTCATAAGGCCAAACGTTATTTTGCCACAACAAATACCTGCTTGTTTCTGGAGGAAGAAAAACAATACAGTAGATGCAAAAGAAATCATACAAATATTAAAGCATATCTGGTCTGAGCAAAATGATGGAGAAAGATCCTTTACTCACACTTTGACTGGTGGACGAGATATAATAACTAGCACCTGCAAATCTTCATGTTTATTTGTATTCCAGACCTGTTACGAGATTAGTAGAGGCAAACCATCACTGCTGTGAGATTAGTAGAAGCAAACCATCAAGACGTACAGCAGGCACCATCATGAATCATCATAGAACATGGGGATATCGCGTTAAACTTTTGCAGGGTATCACGTCTATGATGCAATACAACAGAGCAACTAATTGGCATGAAAAACCTACTATAACCTGTAACTCATATTAGTATTCACGTGTATTAAACATCACATGGGTGTGATCCTATCTCTCTCTCTCTGTGAGTTACACCTCCAATTACTCTGATCATACGCTATTTACCATGCCAATTTTGGTACTAGACAAATACAACCCGCTTCCGTTCCTCTTTTTTCAAAAAACAGGACTATTTCCTTCCATTAATCAAGGCCTATTGTTGGACTTTTGTTTCTTTTCATACGCATTGAACCTTTTTCCTATTTGTTGTGTCGAGTCTTCTCATTTTTTGCCTCATTTATAACTGCTTGCACAAGTCTGCTAGCAGCGAACTTGTTACTCCAGCATTCTGATTTTCATTTCCTATCATAGACACGGAAAAAGGTCATCTCTCATCATCTAAATTGCATTAAAAGTGATCAATCGGGAATTCAGTTCCCTATGCAATTTCCTAAAACAACAATAGCGTATATAAAAAATTGATTAACCATGCAAGCTACAATGGTCTTGCAAAATGATTGAATATCGGAGCCTCTCTCCACTTGTCCTTTCCCAATTCACCCGAACTAATTCTTTGAAGTAAAAGTACCTTCAAGTTTTGTACAATTTCAACGCTGAATTTCTGACCCAAAAAAAAAGCTAAATTTAAATGATCCCTTGGACCTCCCATTAATTTCTTTTTCTCTCAATGAAACTTTGCCTCTCACTGATGGCTATTGTGAGAATATCAGAGATTGGACCATCAACAAACCTAATCTACATCTTTGCCTTGCTTCACCAACCTAAATCTATGGCCAAAGGGGAAACCCATGTACAATCTGTTGGATGTACTTTTCTTCAGTGAAACTCATGAACATCAACATCTGAATTCCCACTTCTACCACTCTACCATGCTTACAGAGGCAATGATCCTAGGGTTGACCAAATATGATAGATCACATAAATGAAAAATCTAGGCCATACAATTTCCTAATATCTAAACAAACAATTTGGCAGGAAAAAGTATTTAAGCTCTATTAAAATATGTAGAAAGCACCAACAAGAGAAAGTATTACCTGGTGAGCATCATTAACAGGGATGTGAAATGTGCTATTGGAAAAAATGGGTAACTCTAGGGGCTGCCCAGGATACTTTGAATGTGAACTTGAGGCAAGATACAGAGTACCACTTCCCTTTAGGACAACAAACACTTCTTCACACGAGTGCCTATGGATGGGCGTGTGTGATCCTGGAGCAAATGTTTGAAGCCACACCTCAACCTGTTGTGAGAGGAAACTAATGTGATGAGATAAATAAGAAAATTTGCATTGACCACTGCTTTTAGCAAGAAGTATTCCTTCAAGTGTTTTATTGGTATCATTCTACAACTAGATCATATTATCATGCACGCACTTCTTCAAAACTTGTATGGATTTTATCAGGGAATGTCAGTTGCACGGATATGTTGTGGACAAACTATGAGAGGACGAAAGATTGAGGGGTGATTGGTGTGAGATTAAATTAAAAAGTATCAAAAACTTGTTAAATGGTTTCCATTTTGAATAGAAGCAATAAATGGCTCTGAGAGATCACGAGAGAAATTAAAATCTTGTGAACGCAGTGTGTTGTATACCTCTTTCATTCCATGCAAGATTGAACCTGTGACAGTAATGTGTGACAACCCAGGCCTTCCATAGTTATCCTGTGGAAGCTCACTAATATTCCTCACCAGTGGTAATCCTGCATGACAATGAAAATTCAGTCTAACATAAAGTTCTCTATGAAAAGTCAATCACAACCACCCTAATGAAGACAAGTGCCATCAAGACACACCTAGTGATATGTACCTACCCAATACAGTTCGTAATTCAATTGAAGAAGCTACAAAAGCAAGTAAATCTTAAAAGTTAATTAGTACTTCGCACTATCATTCTCATTTTCTTAATGGCTTTCATTGTATAAAGTTGTAGTGTCAAGCATTTTAAGTGAGAATCTGTTACGTTCACACTTTGAAGAATTGAAAAAACAAATGAAAAATAGAATTGGAGAAAGAAAACCCACTTCGAGGGGCGTAAAAACCTCTGGTGGTCCAATTCGAGGGGAACCAAAACTCCAAAACTTCCCTAGAAAGTTTATCCCAATATTTAACATATTCATTTCATTGGTACTATCTTAATAACTAACCTCACTCATGATTTCATTGGTACTATCTTAATAACTACCCACAAAACACTATCACTAACACACTCACTAATAACTACCTCTAATATGCAATAAATATATTAAAAATTAAGCACGTAACAGAATCTAACAACAACAGCAACAACAAAAGAAAATCAGGAAAGGCGCCATTTATAGTGGTTTTATTCTTGATTCGAATTTGAAGATCCAATTAAACAACTGGTGATTTCTGCAAATTTCGGGAAATTATGAATTACTAAATAAGAAATTAGTCGATTAATACACATCAGTAAAAGCATGAAGTTCCAAAATACATCTGACAAAATTAGGAAAAACATCGATTAAGATACACAATTGGAAATCGGAGGTAAGGACTTGCCGTTTGTTGAACAATGAGAAGCATTGGCTGTGATACAAAACAATAGGGTTAAGAAAAATACGAGCGGACGCCCGCCCACTCCCATCTTTCTCCTCGCTTGTTCAGTGTCTGCAACTCTCTCTGCGTGGAACAATGGCGAGGTTTTTACAGGGCACCCATGGCTCGGGTTTGGGTCTTCCAAACAGACCAGACCTGGATATTATTTTACTGGTCAAAAACTTATAGGACTTTTTTGCATTTTAAAGAATTTAAAATTTCTAATATTATCCTCTCAATATATCAAAAATTTTACACTGCGGCTCTTTTGTTTTTTTTTTGTCAAAAGTCGGCCCTTGACACTGATGACAAAATTAATTAAAAGTTAATAGAAAAGAAAGACCACGTCACAAATACTTTTGATACATTCAGAGTATAATATAAAAAATTTAATTTTTAAAAATATAAAATAAGAATTTTAAAATTTTTTAGGGTATAAAATATAATTCTTAGAAATTTATATCATTTTATGATCCAAATCTTAACATTAGTTCACAAAAAATGGAACTACTTTTAACAAATCATATATAACTACTATATAAATGAATCTTATCATATATTTTTTTCAATCGATTTTACTCGTACCCGATTCTCGATTCTTTTATTAATCGTATCGTGTCGTGTTTGGTCTACTTGTTTACAAAATGAGTGACTTATAGAAGACTCAAACCTTTTAATTTTATGTTATATTTATATCGTATTAACAAATCGGCCATATTTTATTACTCCTAAGTATAATATTCAAAATTTGAATTAATATAAGATTTTTTAGTTATATATTNAGAACTACTTTTAACAAATCATATATAACTACTATATATAAATGAGTCTTATCATATATTTTTTTCAATCGATTTTACTCGTACCCGATTCTCGATTCGTTTATTAATCGTGTCGTATCGTGTCTAGTCTACTTGTTTACAAAATGAGTGACTTAAAGAAGACTCAAACCCTTTAATTTTGTGTTATATTTATATCGTATTAACAAATCGTGCCATATTTTATCACTCCTAAGTATAATATTCAAAATTTGAATTAATATAAGATTTTTTAGTTATATATTGAATATCCTTCCCCCACAGTATGAAATTAGTGCAAGTCCAAAAATATAAATTATTACACTATATTGAAAGGTATCTAAAGTGAAATTTATTAATTCAAATGATGTTTTTGAAAATTTTCAAATACATTGAACAAAAAAAGAAAATACTACATTAACCGAAAAAAGAGGCACAAAAATTGAAAAAAGACCCATTGAAGTTGACGGAAGTAGTAACAANAGAAAATAGTACATTAACCGAAAAAAGGGGCACAAAAATTGAAAAAAACCCATTGAAGTTGACGGAAGTAGTAACAAAAATTAACAGAATTGTCATATTACAAAATTTTTAACACATTGNGAAAATACTACATTAACCGAAAAAAGAGGCACAAAAATTGAAAAAAGACCCATTGAAGTTGACGGAAGTAGTAACAAAAATTAACAGAATTGTCATATTACAAAATTTTTAACACATTGAAAGTATAATATCAAAATTTTAATTTTTGAGAATAGAAAGTAAGAATTCTTAAAATACTTAGAAGTATAAAATATAATTCACCCTATTTTAATTAGGTGAAATTTCTTATAATTTCATGAAAACTCTGAATCATGTACAAAGTGATCGGATTAGAAAGATTTTTTACTGTGACTACTTGATAATAAACTGATGATGTACAAATTAGTTTTCACATTGTCTGTTAAATAAACAGTATTAAATGCAGTAAATAAGTAGAGAGAGAAGACAATGTTTATAATGGTTCGATTAACGCGACCTCCGTCCACTTTGAATGACTAGAATCGNATCTGTTAAGTAAACAGTATTAAATGCAGTAAATAAGTAGAGAGAGAGAAGACAATGTTTATAGTGGTTCGATTAACGTGACCTCCGTCCACTTTGAATGACTAGGATTGTCGGGTATTTTATTAACTCAAGAATGTAGGGAGAGCAGAGAGTTGAGAGATAGGGGGAGAGTGTTGTGCTCGACTGAATGTGATGCCCTCCAAGTGTGGTCGGAACTTACAATTTATAGTCGTTCCAATAACAGATTAGGGCGAATTGTTAGTAACCAAATGATTATTCTAGTGGAAGTGATGATCTCTTATCAACAGGCGAGACAGTTACGGTGTTTTCCATGAGATTCAGTCAAAGGATAAAAGATGAGTTAACTTTCTCCAAGGTGGCGGATGAGACTCTAGGATGACCTTGCATGCTCCCTGCTGATGTAGCTCCTTGAGTCCAATGAGTTTGATCGGGTTGACCATATTGGGTTGGATTTGCTAGATCTCTTAGAATTGGACTATGAATTCAAACCGGGTTTATAATTTAAACTAGGCTCTTAGGCTTGACCCATCATAAATTATTAAAGATTGAATTAGAAATATTTTAATTCACTAACACTTAAAATGTGGATGTATGTTTTTAGGTTCACAGCCGATAGCATCAATATTTTCAATGCATAACACATCGAGATTAATGTGATATTTTGTTTATAAATTATATTTCAAAAAACGAAAAAGAAATTTAATTTGAAAGGAAATGAATTAAGGAGTTTTACAGATCAATTTAAAAAAAAAAAAAGAAATAGAGAAAAGCCCATAAAATTATTTATTAGTCTATAATAATTTTAAAACAAAATTATTAAAATACGGCACTATTAAATTTATTTATTAAACTACGACAATTTTTCAAAAGTGAAATCAACAATCCCATTTTTAAGAGTAAATTAATTGGGCTTAAATCTTAATACCCTCTTTTTACATATAACTGAAATAATGAATAATTTTTTTCAATTAGGCTTAATAATCTCCTTTTATATATGATTAAAAATAATAAATAATCTTTTTCAATTAATCGTTAAAAATGGAGTTGTTGACTCTATTTTTGTTAGAATATGTATTTTTGTAAATTTATTTTAAAATTGCCATAGGTAAATAACTCTATAGAGTCTTTTATAAGATCACTTAGGACATCTCTTATGGTGACTCAAATTCTTCCTTAAATTTGAGAAGAAAAAAATGAAAAATTTCTATGGTAGGGTCGACAGTACCAGTACCAGTACCGGTACCAAAAATTATAATTTTTTAAGATTAAATTATAACTTCAAAATGAAATATTGAAATAGATACTATATTTTTATGGTCGATTATAAGTGTCCGTGATCGATCGTATCTGTCTTTTAATAATCATAATTTCTCTTTTTTACCCTACAAAGTAAACACTGGTAATATCGGTATATTTTTTTTTTTTAAGTACCATAGGATTTTCCAAAAAAATTAGTATATATATTTTTTTTAAGTACCATAGGATTTTCCAAAAAAAAGAGTTGAAAGTTTGATTTGATGTGAAATTTTTCATTGGTCAAACAAAAATTATACTCAAAAATCTTTAAAGATAATTCCCATACAGTCCCAAGATTTGGAGTCTGATAACCTGATAAAAAAGAGGGGAAGAGGTACAAAGAGAAACCCATACACAAAAGCTTTGTAATCGTTCGCAAAAGGGTTCAGAAAATCAGAAAAGGTTAGAGATTTTTACCACTTCAAGACTCCTATTTCGTTTTAATCATGCCTTCAACGATTTTTACCACTTCAAGAAACCCATACATTTTTTTTTGTTCATTTTTCTGGGTGTTTTTAAATGGTAGTTATCAGCATTGAAAGAGTTATCTGTGTTCCCTGAAGCTTGGTTTATAGAAGGTGATGATGAGCACTATTTCTCTTCGAGCTTCTATGGCCGCTCACTGACGGAAAACAGGCAGATTTGGGAAGCCTGTCAGTGGAATAGGTCTGCCACGATACAATGGCAAAAATATATAAATGTATGAAGATGTATAGATATGACTGTTGCAAATGGTTATCTGATGATACTTGATGAATGCTGATGAGGGTTAATGTTTCTATGTTGATATTATATGAATTAGCGATGATGTATGAAGTATGTTTTCGTTATTATCAATTTAATGAAATTGTGGGGGGGGAGGGTGGAGTGAAAACTGGTTAGTCTTTCTCTCAAAATATGACCGATGATAATTGAGTAAAAGGTTTGCTGCTCCCTCAATTTGAGTCAAAAAATGAGTTTCTAGGTTTGAGTCAAAGATTGAAGAGGTGATTTTTACTCAAATTTAAATTTGAGTAAGGATTGGACATGGCCTTATCTGGAACTAAATCCAGAAGGTGTTAGAGTATGTGTGGCTCATATATTGCTGTGTGCATAATGGCAAGGAGGCAGATGCCGGAGTGGAGCCCGTGACAGCATCTGCCTTGTGGGATTTATATAAAGGGGACGCTGATTAGTTGGGGGTGCGGGGGCAACGCCCCCGCGGTACGGTACAGGGGTATTTTTGTAAATACGTTCATATTAGGGTTATATAAATACTTAAGATGTAACCCTATTCTATAATGAAAAAGAACGGCCGCTCGCTCTCGTGGATGTAAGCACATTGCCGAACCACGTAAATCTCTGTGTGTTATTTTCTCCTGCTTTCTTAATTGTTTGATTCCTTACTATTCACCATAATTGCTGCACGATCGCAACAGAAGGGCCGAGCTTCCATAAAAATACCTGATTTTGCAGAGCTTTCCTCTGTGGCGAAGTTGTCTATTCGTTTAGTAAGGTCTGAAGCCGGTGAATCCTTCATTAACTGAAACCAAGCAATACTTTCCACCTCCAGCGAACAGGTCTCATCTTCTTCTTCTTCTTCTTCTTCTTCTTTTTCATTTCTTGTAATAAGTGTGGGACATAGTTTGATACTTTGTAGAGAAAGATTTTCGAGAATTAAGATTTCTGTAGTGGGTCGTCTATCTTTTCTGATTTTGAGTCTGTGTGTGCGTGTGAGTATTTCAGTGCCCAAGTCCTTGGTTCTCGGATTTATGGAACTTTGATGTAATGGAAAATTTTGTTACTGTTTTGTATTTTAGGTCCTTTGCTAGAGGGGTTCTTTTATAATTGTCTGTTTTTCCATTTTTCTTTATAGTTTTTCCTGGAAAGTAGTATCTAATGCAGAACCCAGCATTCTCTCTCTGTCTCTTCTTTGTTCTTTTTTCTCGGGTACTCTCTATTCTTGGTTACTGGATTTGTAGCACACGCCATTCTTTGTTTTGTTGGAGAACATGTTTAGTGAAGTGGACCCTGTAGTTTGCCTGTGTCATAATGAGGGTAAAGGAAGGGAAATGCCTAAAATTGCTTCCTTTCATGTATTCAAAGCAGTCTTCTTCTGCCTTCCCTATTTCTTATTCACACCAAAACAGTGGTGCCTACCCTAGCCAACTTGTATCTCTGCCTGTACTCTGGTTGATATGATAATAAACTAACTCTTCGGATTCATTTGAGCTCAATTAGACTAATATATTGTTGATGAATTCTCCAAGTACGCTGCTGGTCATCAGCCCCCGTTTGCTTTATGAGATGAAAACATTGAAGTAATGCAGTATATTCTGTATACGGTATTTTAGAGACTTTGGTTTTATTGCTTCCTGCAATTTGTTATTTCTTTAGTTTTATCCTAATTAGAGTTTTTTTTTCTGGTGTATGAGTCAGTGTGGTGATTGTGCCTCTTGCTTGGTGCAGATTCTTTACTTGTCCATTACCCTTAGCAACAATGAAGATTGTATATTATACTAACATCTCAAAACCCAGTTTCTTGCTTGTACACAATGAGTTACATGCCCTTACATTCCGTAAACCCCAGTTAAACTCTGCATCGGCTGTATGGATGTTGAGTAATCGTGAGAAGAGACTTGCATTGGGGAAAAGACTACAGTGCTCTGTTGCCAGTAGAACATTTGCATCCAGTTCGGTAGATTCTTCTTTGTCCAAGCAGGACACAGATCAAGTGAGTTGGAAACAAGGACGTTCCTCATCCTTATATACTCACCCTAGTTTGTTAGAAATGAAGAATGAGAGGGTGATGAACCGTGGTAGCGTTTATGAATTCTTGAGGGGAATTGGTATTGTACCTGATGAGCTCGATGGGTTGGAGCTCCCTGTGACAGTTGAGGTTATGCGGGAACGTGTGGACTTCCTACACAAACTAGGGCTTACTATTGAAGATATTAACAACTACCCACTTGTTCTTGGCTGCAGTGTGAAGAAAAACATGATTCCTGTGCTTGATTATCTTGGCAAATTGGGGGTTAGAAAATCAACTTTTACAGAGTTCTTGCGACGATATCCACAAGTCCTTCATGCCAGCGTTGTAGTAGACCTTGCACCAGTTGTTAAGTATCTTCAAGGGATGGACATCAAGCCAAATGATATTCCTCGGGTTTTGGAGAGGTATCCAGAAGTGTTGGGTTTTAAGCTTGAGGGGACCATGAGCACGTCAGTGGCTTATTTGGTTGGAATTGGGGTAGCAAGAAGAGAAATTGGTGGGGTTTTAACTAGATACCCAGAGATATTGGGGATGCGAGTAGGCCGGGTGATCAAACCATTCGTTGAATATCTGGAAAGCTTGGGAATACCAAAATTAGCTGTTGCTAGACTGATTGAGAAGCGACCCCACATTCTTGGTTTTGGACTAGAAGAAAGGGTGAAACCTAATGTCAAGTCTCTACTAGAGTTTGATGTTAGGCAAACTTCACTTGCTTCTGTGATTGCCCAGTATCCTGAGATCATAGGTATTGACCTGGAGTCAAAGCTCCAAAGGCAACAGGTCTTTCTCAATTCTGTTATTGGTTTCGGTCCTGAAGATTTTGGGAGAGTTGTGGAGAAGATGCCACAGATCGTCAGCCTGAGTAATACACCTGTAGTGAAGCATGTTGAATTCTTCAAGGAATGCGGATTTTCCTTGGAACAAGTGAGAAAGATGGTTGTAGGATGTCCCCAATTGCTTGCTCTGAATCTTGATGTCATGAAACTCAGTTTTGTTTACTTCCAAACGAAGATGGAAATGGCTTTGGATGACTTGGTTACTTTCCCAGCTTTCTTCACTTATAGTCTGGAGTCAACTATAAAACCAAGACATAAGATGGTTGCAACGAAGGGGTTGAAATGTTCTCTTGCATGGCTTCTTAACTGCTCAGATGAGAAATTTGAGGAGCGGATGAATTATGACTCCATTGACATTGAGGAGATGGAAATGGATTCATCATTTGACATGAATACTCTAATGGAACCCAGAAGGGATGAGTCCGCTTCTGACTATGAGGAGGACACTGATGATGAGTATGTATAGACTGATTCATAAGCTTAGGGTGCAGTTTTATGGAGTGTCTTGGTTTTTAACTAAGCTTCATGTGGGCAATTGCTGGTGCAATATTCAAAAGGCAATTGCTGGTGCAATATTCAAAAGGTAAAAACTTTGAGTTTTGAAGCACAAAGCATTTGCATCATTTCTCTAAGGCAATGCACATATGAATATATGATGCAATGAAATATACTAGGATTATTAAATATTCCATCATATTTAGAAGTGGTCCTTTAGTCATTTATGATGCAAGAGACTTCTAAGAACTGAAAACAAGGACTCTAATGTAGCACAATAAGGTTTCTGAACAACTTGAACAAGGTGAAGAAAGTTTGGGTTGCTTCTTAAATATTGGGCGCCATATTTAAATTCTTGACTCTTATTAAAGAGCATTGACACTTCATGAATGTACACCATTGAGCCAAAGTACCTTCTGTATAACAATTTACATGACTCTGGTACTTGAAATTCAGGTTTTATGCTATTAGAACACTCTTCTGTAGTTCAAAAGTATCTATATTCCTTGTAGTAGAGCAATTTTAGTTGCAAATTTATGAAAGTTTTAGTGTTTCTTTGGACGATTTACAGGTTTTGGTCACTACCTTCTCAATGAATAGCTGTTGAACCAACCTCCAGAATAACGCTGAGATGATGGAAAAGTCAAGGTAGATAAATTCATAAGCAATCCTGTGGGCTTGGTGGAGTGTCATAACTAGATGTTCACTATATGTTTACGCAGTTATTCCCATATGGTGGGAGAAGGATTTCAACTTTCCTATTCCAACGACACATTGGCCACCAGCAATCTAGCTTTGCAGAATAACAAATTCGAGTTTTTGCATGACAGTGAGTCACTCAGCCTTGTTGAATATTTGGATTGTGGCAATCGGATGATTGAAATTCTGGGTGAAACAGGCTGTTCCAAACTGCATATATTTTATGTTTCTTAATGGGAGGTTGTAGTTGGTAAGCAATGCAAATGTGCTACTTTTTTTTTTCCAGGTCCAAGTCGGTGCTACGTTTTTGAACCTTTTTCTTGTTTTGGATTAGGCCATTGTTGCTACACATTGAACGACCTCTTAGTAGTGCTGATAATAGATCCGTGTTTTGCGAGTTCGAGTAGCAACTTGTTTTTCTAAACAAGCCGATCTCGAGCTAAGTTCGAGTAATTCGACTATTTTACATAGAAATAAGTCAAACGAGCTGAGTATTTTAAGTTTAAATCATTTAGAACACAAGCCAAGCTCGACTCGAGTTCTATTCAAGTTGAACCCGAATAGTTTGGCGTGATTATCAGCTCTAGCTCTTAGATTGAATGATTATTCTGTGTCTTTATTGGAAGATTAGGACTTGCTTTCAATTAGGCTTCAGTTGAATGAGGCCTAAAGTAACATGTTCGCGTGTGATATGGTGGAGATTGGGTCTTTTCTTAGCTTTGGCGATTCTAATGCTACGAGGGGGTGCCATTATACCAACGCTACTGCAATCAAGCTTTTGTTCTGGCAAAAATTTACTTTATCAACCGCCTTTTAGCCCGATGGTATTTCTTGTTTTATGAAATTTTTGTCTTCTTAATATCAAGAGTTTAAGTTCCTTGAGCAATAAATTTATAGTTTGTTAGTAAGACGAATCTCAAGTGTTTGGATGAATTATATCCGAATTTCTGATATGGGTTCAAATTTTCACCGAAGCATAAATCCTATTATAACTAATGTATAGATTGCGGAACTAGTTTATGCATCTAGAATTTGTCATAAGTTTTACTCAGATTTACAAGCTTGAATGATATAAGCATATCTCTAGTCGTCGATGATAGACTAGTGATTTCCTCCATTAATCAATTTTTTTTTTACTTTACAACGCCTAGAATTTTTTGTACCCTACCTACCTAAGATTCAAAAATAGCCACATTATTAATGACTCGTGTGGACAAAATTTGCCATTAACTTCGTATAATAACTGTTATACACTGTCTCTCTCTTTCTCTCGGTGCTTCTTCTATCTTCTACTACAATGGTTATTATTTGGCAGCTAAACTGGTGTGGCCTGACTTGGTGTGTATGATACCAAAACTTGTTTATTCTCCAGCAAACTCATGCCACTACTATCAATATAAGTACCATCACTAGTGCACATTCCACTTCCTCCACTGCAAGAACATTTCACTGCCTCGGTTATAAAGGTATTTGGGTTTCTTTAATATAGAAGTTGTGAATAAGGTGTGCCAAGTTACCATAAGCATGATCATATAACATCTCAAATATGGCATAAAATACAACCGAGCCCCAATTACGCTGTAGAATGGGGATTTTTCCATCGATTGAATAAGGGAGTGAACATCTCAGTTCACTTTTACTCCCCTATACAAAGCAGGGGATGTTAGACCATCCGCCATAGACTCTTTGTTGTTGCAGCAAATCACGTTGTCTTTGTCACAGCCTAAGATATAAGAGAACTGGCAGGGATGATGATCCAGTAACTTGAGAATCAACTTGGAAAGAAATGAGTCATCCGACCAAAGGAAGACATGTTCACTGGATCCTAGTCTGTTTTCTGTAGCCAGCCAAGCTGAGCAAAAACACCAATGGTAAAACATATAAAGCACAATCTGAAGGGAGTACATACTTTAACACCACTGAGGTACGAAAGCGTACCTTCCATGCATACATGACGAAAAATGCTACTGTATCTGCAGACCAAACGACTGCAAACGATTTCCAGAAGAATGGAATTGTAACATTTAGTAGTGGTACAAGGAGAAAGAGATAATTCAGTGCTTCTTTCTCGTTCTTTGAGCAATCTCGGGCTCGAAGGGAAGGGATGGCTGCAAATTGCACAAATTAGCCTCCTTGTTAGGAACAAATGTGAGCTTCTTTCTCAATACATATTTTCTCTATTGGTCTAAATGTCATCGTGTGATTTTGAATATAAGGCGTTTGCAACCATGCAACATAAAAACAGTTTACTTGACAAGAATGACAGTTTTACACATCTTCCATACAGAATGTAAATGCAGAATCATTGACAAGATTAGAAACATGATAAGTCATTTCTTGAACCAAATCCCAAAATCATAAACATTCATTGAGGAAGATTAGATATAATTGCTTCTTGTGCTGTAAGAAAAATACGAGAAAAGAATACATATTCGTTGCATGTGTAATAAAAAAATGTCAAGATGAATATTCCAATGATCTCCAAATACCCCTTCTCTAAATTAGTGGATGAGTCAATGTTTAAAAAAATTATATGCCCATCTTTCCATGAAGCTTATTTTAACTATTGAGGATACTCCAACATACAATTCATTTTCTTCACACAGAAAGAGGTAAAGACTAGAACGCTCAGCGAAAAACTGTTTCGCATGTAGATTCCTATTTCACGTAAGAATTTGTGGTTCCAATTGTTGTAGGATAACTTACTAAACATCCAGATGGACCACATGCCCATCAATCTCCATATGTCGGGTTCGTTTGATGGGAATATGAGATTGAACGAAAGAGCTCCGCCCAACAACATTGAGGCGTAGCCCTGAACCTCAAAAACCGTGAACAAGGCAGTTCCAGGTACAGCAGGATTTTTGGAAGCAGTAGAAGCCCTTGGTGCAAAGGTTGCAGCAGTCTTCTGAACAACCTGTGGTTAAANGTGCTAGTTAATTTCGCACCTAAAGTCGATATGTCCGAGTGGTTAAGGAGACAGACTTGAAATCTGTTGGGCTACGCCCGCGCAGGTTCGAACCCTGCTGTCGACGTTTTATCCCCTCAAATTTTACTTTTAAATCATGGTCGCCATCTCTCTCTCTTTCACACACACATGCACACTCTTGTTCCTAATTTATTCTGATCTTCATTCAAAAAAATTTCCTTGGCAATGCTCTAAATAGAAAATTGAGAGTTATTTTGACAATGAATATGCATATTATTTTTTATTCTATCGATATGAATGTTCATTGATACACACTAATATATATTTATAATAAAATACTCGCGCAGGTTCGAACCCTGTTGTCGACGTTTCATCCCCTCAAATTTTACTTTTAAATCATCGTCGCCATCTCTCTCTCTCACACACACATGCACACTCTTGTTCCTAATTTATTCTGATCTTCATTCAAAAAAATTTCCTTGGCAATGCTCTAAATAGAAAATTGAGAGTTATTTTGACAATGAATATGCATATTATTTTTTATTCTATCGATATGAATGTTCATTGATACACACTAATATATATTTATAATAAAATACTCGCGCAGGTTCGAACCCTGTTGTCGACGTTTCATCCCCTCAAATTTTACTTTTAAATCATCGTCGCCATCTCTCTCTCTCTCACACACATGCACACTCTTGTTCCTAATTTATTCTGATCTTCATTCAAAAAAAATTCCTTGGCAATGCTCTAAATAGAAAATTGAGAGTTATTTTGACAATGAATATGCATATTATTTTTTATTCTATCGATATGAATGTTCATTGATACACACTAATATATATTTATAATAAAATACTCGCGCAGGTTCGAACCCTGTTGTCGACGTTTCATCCCCTCAAATTTTACTTTTAAATCATCGTCGCCATCTCTCTCTCTCACACACACATGCACACTCTTGTTCCTAATTTATTCTGATCTTCATTCAAAAAAATTTCCTTGGCAATGCTCTAAATAGAAAATTGAGAGTTATTTTGACAATGAATATGCATATTATTTTTTATTCTATCGATATGAATGTTCATTGATACACACTAATATATATTTATAATAAAATACTCGCGCAGGTTCGAACCCTGTTGTCGACGTTTCATCCCCTCAAATTTTACTTTTAAATCATCGTCGCCATCTCTCTCTCTCACACACACATGCACACTCTTGTTCCTAATTTATTCTGATCTTCATTCAAAAAAATTTCCTTGGCAATGCTCTAAATAGAAAATTGAGAGTTATTTTGACAATGAATATGCATATTATTTTTTATTCTATCGATATGAATGTTCATTGATACACACTAATATATATTTATAATAAAATACTCGCGCAGGTTCGAACCCTGTTGTCGACGTTTCATCCCCTCAAATTTTACTTTTAAATCATCGTCGCCATCTCTCTCTCTCACACACACATGCACACTCTTGTTCCTAATTTATTCTGATCTTCATTCAAAAAAATTTCCTTGGCAATGCTCTAAATAGAAAATTGAGAGTTATTTTGACAATGAATATGCATATTATTTTTTATTCTATCGATATGAATGTTCATTGATACACACTAATATATATTTATAATAAAATACTCGCGCAGGTTCGAACCCTGTTGTCGACGTTTCATCCCCTCAAATTTTACTTTTAAATCATCGTCGCCATCTCTCTCTCTCACACACACATGCACACTCTTGTTCCTAATTTATTCTGATCTTCATTCAAAAAAATTTCCTTGGCAATGCTCTAAATAGAAAATTGAGAGTTATTTTGACAATGAATATGCATATTATTTTTTATTCTATCGATATGAATGTTCATTGATACACACTAATATATATTTATAATAAAATACTCGCGCAGGTTCGAACCCTGTTGTCGACGTTTCATCCCCTCAAATTTTACTTTTAAATCATCGTCGCCATCTCTCTCTCTCACACACACATGCACACTCTTGTTCCTAATTTATTCTGATCTTCATTCAAAAAAATTTCCTTGGCAATGCTCTAAATAGAAAATTGAGAGTTATTTTGACAATGAATATGCATATTATTTTTTATTCTATCGATATGAATGTTCATTGATTCACACTAATATATATTTATAATAAAACAGCTTACAATTCAAATCTTAAAAGATAAACAAAATAACTTTTGTTATTCGCGATTGAGATCGTTTTAAATTTTACTTTAAAGTTAATCTAATAGCTAATATTAAAACTCTAAATTTATTAGAAACAAATAAGCCTCGAAGAGTGTGTTTGAAGTAATTTTTTAAAAGTGTTTATAGAAATTATTTCTCATAAGTATTTAAAAAAAATATATATTTGAAATCGTCCCACTACTACCTCTATCACCACCACTACCACTGTCACTGCCACCATCACCAGCGCCACTACCGTCGTCGTTACCACCACCGCCATTACCACCGTCATCTCCATCACCATCTGTTGTCGTCGTCGCCACCACTGCCACTGTCGCCACTGCAACCACCATTGTCGTCACCACCATCATCGCTGCCACCTCGGTTATTGCTACTCACCATAACCAACACTGTCTCCTACCACCATAACTGTCGCCCACCACCTCTCACCCCCAGTACAAACCGATGTTTAAATTCCTTTATCTCTTTTCTATGTTTGTGATTTGATTTTGGATATGAATACAAATATGTTTATTGTTTACCATTTTTTATTACTCTGTACCTTCAAGTACAGGCAATAACTAGTATATTTATATAATATATATTTAAAGGTGTGTTTGGAGTGACTTTTTAAAAATACTTCTAAAAATTATTTTTTATAAGTATTTTTAAAAAAAATATTGTTTGAAACCGCCTCACCATTACTTCTACCACCACCACCCCCACCCCACCCCACCATCATCACTATCGTCACTGCCACCATCTTACCACTACCATCACCATTTCCATTCTCCCACCACCACCACAACCATTACCCCCACCACCAACCACCCACCCCCATCATCATCACTACAACTACTATCACCATCCCACCACCACTTCTACCGTCCACCATAATTGTTATTTTATTCTTATATTTATCACTATTACCACCATCATCCCACTACCACCGTCACCCGCCACCACCCATCGTTTTCCACCATCGCCACTGGTCATTGTGATCTACCCCATCACACCTACCACCATCATCTGTCATCATCCACCACTACAGCCACCCATTACCTACCCCCCACCACACTTACTACCGTCGTCATTCATCACTATCCATCACACTATCACCTAGAAGCACCTATCATCGCCCACCACCACCATCATCACAGCCCACCACCATCGTCGTCATCCCACCACCACCATTGTTAACCACCATCACCGTCGTCCACTACCACCACCACCCATGACTGTCACTACAATCATTGTCATTCAAAACACACAACCACCATCACCATTGCCACCCATGACTTCTACCATTACCACGGTCGTCGCCTTACCCACCATAACCATCACCACTGTCGCCCACCACTACTGCCATTGTTCACCTCTACTACAATCGGTGGTTAATATTTTTATTTCTCCTCTATATTTGTGATTTGATTTTAGGTGTGAATACAAATATATTAACCATTTTTTTAATTACTCTGTGCCTTCACGCACGGAGAATAACTAGTATATATACATAGTTTTAACTGTCTTATGCTTGTATTATGCCTCAATTGTTGATGCATATATTTGTTGTGTACTTACTTAAATTGATCACAAAAATTTTGAACTTTTAGAAACACTTCATACTAAATTCTTCTATTTTGGTTAATATGTTTTTCTTCTGGAACCATGTTATTGGGGGCTACCTAATTGTAATTGGTGTGAAACTATGGATTATTAACAAACTAATCTAAAGGAAATAACCCAAAATGTAGTTTCTACTCAACTTTAGAGGCCATTTTGGAAAGAAAGATTCTAAATTAAGCAAATTCAAGGAATAATTCTCATCCA